GCCGGGGGGGGAGGGGGCCGGGGGGGGGGGGGGGGGGGCAAAGGAGCACCCCAAGGACACTGGGAGTTGTCACTGTGACCTTGTCACCATTGCCCCAGCTCCTCCCCAGCCTCCTCACCCCAGCACAACCTGTGGGGAATGTTATTTATTGTTGTCCCCCAGTGCCCATGTGTCACTCGTGTCCCCCGTGTTTCTCCCTGACAGTGTCCCCAACATGTGCTGACACCACTCATTGTCTGCTCTGCTCTGTGGGGGATGGGGGTGTGGGAGGGACAGAAATACGGGGCGACGTGGGGATGTGGCACAGGGACATACAGTGGGGCTCAGGCTACAGAGACATGGAAGGCTCAGGGCTCAGGAGCACCCTGAGACCCCCCCATAACCCCCACTCATAGCAGGGATGAGCTCCTGCCCCCCCACAGTGATCCCCAGGGCCTGAGGGGCAATGGTCTGAGGGCCTGGGGGCCCCATCTGCCCAGCCCTGCCCCCATGTTTGTTCCCACCCTCCATGTCCCCGTGGCCCACCACACCTTCTCAGCAGCCCCTGCTGTGCCCCTGTGGACAGGGGTAATGCCTTGGGGGGGGTCCCCACAGCTTGGGGAGGGTTGAGAAGGAACACACATCTCTGGGGGGCCTGGGTGATGGCTGTGCTTGGGACTTGCAGTGGTGGGTGGGCAAGGGTGGGCACAGGTGGACACAGTTGTAAAGGATGTCACATACACGAGTGTCACACTGGTGTCACACACAGCTACAGACACAGTATGTGATTTATATTGTACCTAACATATTCTGAAAAGCAATGTACATTTTTAGGTTAACTATATCCTTAATCAATTAAATCCTAAACCCTCTAGACCCTCTGTCTCAATGCCACACACACTCACACATTTATCACACACAGAAGCCCAGAACAGTCTGAGTGCCAGGAGCCCTGTAGTGATGATCCAGCCTAAACCCTGCCCATGCAGGGTGACCTGGAGCAGATGACACTTGCTCAGGTGGGTTGTGATGTCTCTGAAGGGACACCGTGCACCCTCCCCAGGCAGCTGTCCCAGGGCTTACCCCTTCCATGATGGAGGGAATTTCTGCCTCATGCTGAGCTCAAGGCCTGACTCCTCGTCCTGTCTCGCTAGGCACCACTGGCACTGTCCTCAAACCCGGGGGAGATGGTGGGGATTGGTGGGAGATTGTGAGGATTGGGATCCCCCTTCAGATATTTGTATGGATTGGTGCAATCCCCTCAGGTGAGAGCTTTGTGGAGACACATGAGCAGCAGTCCAAAGCTGCACATGGACCCAGGAGCTCTGGCAGCCAGTCAGGCACAGAGGGGGCATTGCCAGGAGCAGAGCAGGAGGTCAAAGTGGCTCCAGACAGTGCAGGTGACCCAGAAATGGGACACAGAGCAGCAGCAGGGCACGGCGTGGCAGTTCAGCAGGGTGTGTAGGAGAGCACAGCAACCCTCCTGACTCTGGAGGTGAGCTCACCTCAGGTGGAGATTGTTTTTTTCACTTGTCCAACTTGATTAGACCCAACAGTAGTTTACACACTGACACAAGCCATTGCTGGCAGGAGCGTGGAGACCCAGACAGAGCTCCACAAGAAACATGCAGCTGTCCAGGTCTCTGCTTGCAGGGAGTGTTTGAGCCTACAGTTACTACTGGAGGACAGTGGAAACAACACTGCATGTGGTGTAAACAGGTGGAGGATCTTAAAGAGGAGGTGGAGAGGCTGAGGATTATCAGGGAGTGCAAAGCAGAAATAGACCAGTGGAGTTGCACCCTTCCATCCAGGAGAGAAATGCACTGCATGAAAGCCTTCTCCAGACTAAGCAGGCCAAGCTCCTGCAGTCTCTCCTCATCACAGACATTCTCCAGACCCTGAATCATCTTCGTGGCCTCCTTGACCCTCTCCAGCAGTTCCTTGTCTTTCCTGACTGAGCTGTGGAGCCCAGAACTGAATACAGCAGTTCAGGTATGACCTCACCTGGGCAGGACAGAGGGGCAGGATCACCCCCCTGACCTGCTGGCCATACTCCATCCAACACCCCTGTGATGTCCCATCCAGAGAAGGGAGAACCTGGGATCACATATGTGCAGGAAGAATTTAATGTTTTTGATAATGACAAGGATGAAGGGATGGAGGGCACCCTCAGCAGGTTTGCAGGTGACACCAAGATGAGTGGGGCAGGTCTCTCCCTGAGGGATCTGGACAGGCTCAAGTGGTGGCCCATGGGAGCCTCATGAGGTTTGACAAGACCAAGTGCAGATGCTGTGCCTGGGGCAACCTTTGGAATCAATCCAGACTTGGGATGAGCAGATGGAGGAGCTCTGGGAGAAGGACTTGGGGGTGCTGGTGGATGGGGGGCTGGATCCAACCCAGCCCAGAATCCCCCTGTCCTGGGTTCATCCCATAGCATGGGCAGCAGAAAATTCTCTTGGATTGTGTTGTGTGAGGGAAAAATGTAGGTGAACTAGCCAGAGCACAGTAAGGATCACTACATTTAAAATGTTCACTCAGGGTGGGAAGAAGGGCATGACAGGCTGAGAGAGTTACAGCTGGTCAGCCTGGAGAACAGCTGGTTCCAGGGAGACTTTGATGCCCCTTCCAGTACTTAAAGGGGGCTTAGAAGAAGGCTGGAGGGGTACTTTGGACAAGAGCATGTAGGGACAGCACAAGAAAAATGGCCCTAAGCTGAAGGTAGGCAGATTTAGATTAGGTGTTGGGAAGGAATTTCTGACTGTGAGGGTGGGCAGGCCCTGGCACAGGTTGCCCTGAGAAGCTGTGTCTGCCCCTGGATCCCTGGCAGTGTCCAAGGCCAGGCTGGACGGAGCTTGGAGCAGCCTGGAACAGTGGAAGGTGGCCCTGCCCATGACGGGGACGGCACTGGGTGGTCATTAAAAGTCCCTTCCACCCAGACCATTCCATGTCTCTATGACTGTGCTGCCCCTCCCTGCCATGCCCAGCACACAGAACCAGCCCCTCTGTGACAGCGGCTCTGGGCCAGGGGCACTGTGAGCACCACAAAGGCTGTGGGTGCTGTGGCGGTGGCTGCACTGGAGGCGACACCTCGGTTCTGGCTGCTGCCACCTGCACTGGCACCAATGGCTTTTCTGTGGGTTCTCATCCTGCTGGCCCTGGCCTGGCCCGTGGGAGGCACCTGGGACACCTGCAGGTCAGTGGCCCCAGGCTCTGTGAGGGGGCTGGAGGAACACCTGGGGACTTCCCTGGCATAACTCAGGGAACAGATACCCTTCGGGGCTCTCTGGCCCTGCTGTCCCTGAGCAGAACAGTGATGGCTTTGTGCTTCCAGTGGGACCTGTGGGCTCCGGCCCATGGCTTCTGACCACAGCTCTGCAGTTCTCGACTATGGCTCCGTGGCTTCTGCTGCTGGCACGTCCCATGTCATGGGTGGCACCAGTGTCCAGCCAGGGGCCTGGCCTGGCATTGTCAGCATCCAGGCCACCTGGGCGAACGGCACGTGGCACATGTGCACCGGTGTCCTCCTCAGCTCCCAGTGGGTCCTCACGGTCGCACACTGCTTCGCCAGGGGTGGGTAAGAAACAGCAGGGACAGAGGTGTCCCCAGAGCACAGACAGGTGCCCAGGTGACAGCACCACGTGCCACTTTCATCCCGCCTCTTTCCTCTCTGCTTCCCTGTCCGCCTTGGGAAGCAGAAGGCAGGGAAATGCTGGGCCACTGCCAGCCCGTGGCTCCGCTCGCTGTCACCCCTGTCTCCATCCGCTCTCTAGGGACATCTCCACGTGGGAGGTGGTGTTGGGGGCCATAGATCTGACTCAGCTGGGCCCTGAGGCTGAGGTGAGACACATCCAGAGGCTCCTGGTACACCGGCACTACGTGCCTGCCACGGCGAGGAATGACATCGCCCTGCTGGAGCTGGAGCAGCCCGTGGAGTGCAGCGACTACATCCAGCTGGGCTGCGTGCCCGACGCCTCGCTCAGGGTCTCGGAGCTGAAATCCTGCTACATCGCCGGCTGGAACTTTGCCAGAGGTGAGTTCCCATGCAGGATGTGCGCCCTGAGGGAGAGCTGGGCATGCCAGGGACACAGGCTGGGCACCCTGGGGACATGGAGTGGCCACAGACAGAGTCCAGCTGCGGGATGGCAGCAGGGCCGGGGCTCGGAGCAGCCCGGGCTGGGGGAAGGGGTCCATGCCTGGGGGGGCGGGGGGGTGCGGCATGGTCATGGAACTGGATGAACTTTAAGGTCCTTTCCCACCCAAACAATTCCATGACTGTGAAGCTTCTGGAGAGATGGGTCTGGCCCCTTCCCCAGAGCCAACAGCAGGGACACAGCTGGACGAGTCACTTGGAGGCAAAGCCAGTCCCAGGGAAGGGGCTGAGCCAGACCAGGGGAAGCAGTTCACCCCAGGCAGGGGAGGGGATGGGCACCGACCTGCTGGGGGCTCATTCCCTTCTGTGCCCACAGCTCAGGGAACAGGCATGGTGCTGCAGGAGTCCAAGGTCCACCTCATGGACACGGAGCTCTGCAACAGCAGCCGGTGGTATGCGGGGACCATCCACCCCCGCAACCTGTGTGCTGGGTACCCGCAGGGCAGCATCGACACCTGCCAGGTAGGAGTGTGTGATGAGTCCCTCAGTCCCCAGCAGAACAGGAACCCCTCATCCCCCAAACACAGCCCAGCACAAGCCGGGCCTGGCCTGGCACTCTACCACCCTTGGGTCTCTACCACTGCCTGGGCTGCCCTTCCTTTCCCCATCTGAGCATCCCTGCCCTATATCCTGGGGATGCCCTTCTCTTCTTCACCTGTTGGTCCCCTTGTCCCCAAGGCCCAGTCCTGCGCACAAAGCCCATTCAGTGCCCCCAGAAAACCCAAAGTACGGATGTGACCCTGGAACATCTGTCCTCCACACATCTGGGACCCACCTGCAGAGATGGGAGAGCCCCCGACCTGCTCCCAGCCCAGGGCCTGGAGGCTCTGGACCCTGAGCTGAACCTTCCC